TTTTAAAAAAAAAAAAAAAAAAAAAAAAAAAAAAAAAAAAAAAAAAAAAAAAAAAAAAAGAAAATGGAATGCTCTGGTACTGATTTTGTTCCTTGATTCAATGTTTTCTTTCTTGTCTTTAGATTAAAATGTCCATATTGTCCAATGGAACAAAGTCCAGGAGATGCCAAACAGATATTTTTCTGAAGAAATAACTTTAGTGTGCAATTCGTAAGTGAAACTGAATTATGAGTGCATATCAGAAGAGAACGTTCCATTAAATGCAGCTAACCAAGGACTCCCGTGTTTATATAAGCTAATACTCCAGAAACTTTGCCAACATGTTAGTGTACACACACTGAGGGGAACGCTCCAGATGAATATTATCATAGGGCTTTATTATATTCTTGGTCTTCATTTCTGATCAAGTAAATACACCAGCAGTTGTCATTCAATGCAGGTTTTTGTACTTAATTATACGGTGATTTTTTTTACTTTTTAACAGCAGAAACAGAAATTGACCTCCCTGCCATGTGTTTAATATTTCTCCTGCTTTTACTTTTGTCATTTTCTTGATAATTGTAAGCCTTGAGAGTGTTTGTGAAAAAGTTTTTATTTCTTGTTATGTATACACAATTAAATGAATATTCTTCAGAAAAAGTTTCATAAATGGAATTGTGGTTATAAAGCTAATTTGCATTTTTTCGCTTAAGTAAGAAAGATGTGATAGATTCCAAATTTGTTTTTCATGTTTTTCTCTGCTCCAGCTCTTGCCAGGAAGTCAGCACACCTGCATTTGAGCTGTGCTTATAGCCTCAGCAGGCTGACTGTTTAAATTCCATCGTGAATTTAGCAGGCTGGTGTGAGAAGTCTCCCACTGGAATAGAGTGGAAGGAGTACTATCGTTTTTTTGCTTTTATTGCCAAGAGGTGCTTGTTTTAAAAGTGTGTTCAATAAAATGACATGCTGAAGTTAGAAGTGTTCTTAAGTTGATATTTGCTCTCTTGATCTTGGTAGCCCACTTCTCTGAAATCTGCCTTCAGGACTTGGCTGTCGATTGCCTTTGTATGTCATTGCAGACACAGTGTTGTGCGTGTGTGTATATATATGTGCACCAGCATCAAACATTGTGTATCTAGAAGGGAAGAAGCATGTTCCAGTCCTAAAATGCAGTTACCAGACCCATCACTTTAAATCCTTAAAGTTAGAAGCTAGCAAATTTTCTGTCGTGCAGAATATGTTTACTGCTGTTTTTGTGTTTGAATAGTATACTGTTCAATGCTTCTCTTCTGCAAAGTGTATCATCTCATTGACTGTGAATCTGTATATTATTCTGAAGGATACAGATAATGATCTTTTCTCTTGTGAGGTATCTTCATTTAATGCACTGTCCAGAAATAGCCATGTGTAAGAGTCTTTCTCTGTATGTACATGGAAGAGACTTATGTGGACATTATTCTGACTTAAACCCATGAAGCTACTTCATTATGAGAAGAGTGTTATGGAAATCACCAAATATTTTGCAACTTTATTTCATCTGACATGGAACTGATCATCAATGTACGAATACATTCATGAGAAAGTGAAAAAAGAAGAAATCAGAAGCAAAGAGAAATGGGACACTTCACATTTTAAACTACAAATGGACTTAGTTTGAGGGAGGGGAATAACAGGTTTGGTGCTAAGTTAATTGGAAACTGGCAGCATTTGCAGTAATATACCAGCCTGAATGGTTTATCCTGAAATGTTTACCTGGGAGAGCTGGGATTAGTTTGTGAAGAAAATGGGTACTGCAGAAAAGCCCTGTTTGCTTACTGTATAGTGAGGCTACATTGATGGCTCCTGTGCGCTGTGCAGCTTAGCCGGCAATCGGGATTGGCCCAGCTCAGAATGCCTGCCTTGTCCAACCTCTGGCCCCATAGGACTTTTGCCGCATGTTTCTGCTTCACTGGTGGAACCCTCTGTAAAGGTCCCACTCTCTCCACTAAAGCAGTGAAGGAAAAAAGCTGAGATGAGCTCCTTGGACTGCAAAGAGAAGGTAGAGAATTCCAGCCAGTACTCTGTTTGAGGGTGTGAACTGGCTTCTTATATACAGTTTTCCTTTGAATTAAAGCCTAGAGTATCTTTTTCTTTCTTTCTTTCTTTTTTTTTAGAGTATCTTTTTCTTTCTTTCTTTTTTTATAAAACCTTTTTCTCCCTAGGCCAAATTTAGCCTTATTCACAACTTACCCTCACCTTTCCACTTCAACCACCGATACAGCATTTAGCCTTCACGTAAGGTTTGAATGATACAGATATGCTCTAGAAGCTGGTGATAAATATTTTTGGTGGCCAGACACTTCACACAGTTGGCTCAGGCCACTTTTAGGGACAAAAGCCAGAGCTATGCTTTGTCCCTCTCCCAGTTTTGGGACTCCTGTTGACAGTTTTCTGTGCAGCTCATAAAACTTTAACAAGAACATACATTAACTGAAGCATTTGACTTACAACTTCCTGTGTTAAGCTCCTTGTAGTCCCACTGGACAGAAGGCCAAAAATTTGAAACTCTGTTGATCTGACAATTTAACATGAAAATTATGTCTCATGATCTTCTTTAAGTGCATGGACTTAAAATTCATTGGAGACTAAATGTGAAGGAGAGGTGGATTTGAAGAGGCCAGACTTTTACCAAAGATGCTGAAGTTCATGTTCTGTCCTTCCTACTCTAGAAACACCTTCACAAATGGTGTTATGACCATATCATCGCTGATGCTATATGTATGTCAGCAGTATGGGAGGGTGATGCTATTTGTCTCTCTCTGAGTTCACTTGCAAAAAATGATACAGGCAAGGTTTTTTATAGTCAGACTAATTATAATAATGTACATTGAAAACAGACTTTCAGAATGGTTCCTAAATTTCTTTGGGAACCGTTTCCATTTATCAGTTGTGGGCAAAGGCCATGGGACTATGCTAAACCAATAAAATCATATTATCAAATCTTTAGGTTTTGACCTAGCCAGAGTATCTGTGTTTTCAAGTACAGTCTTTACACTGGCTAAGGTTGTCTTTTGATCTTTCTCCTTTGTGTGATCATCACAGATGCCGTTTCTGTTGTTTTAGTGGTGATTATATGAGACTTCTAATACATAAATGAACGGGTATTGGTGCCTCTTTATTTTAAAAATTTTGGAAAAAAGAGCCACCTCATTTTCATAGGGTGTGTATTTTGTGAGTGTGTGAGCATTTAATTGAAAATAAGAAAGTTATGAAGTAAATCTTTTTAAACTTTTCTGCAGCAGCTAATGTATACAGAGACACTAAAACCCACACCAAATTATGTGGGGAATGAGGATCCTTTTTTTTTTCTCTCCAGGTAGTCCCACAGGTCATGCCATTCAAGTTCAGTATTCTTTATGCTGTGAGTTATTTCCACCTCAGTGGTTTCAGCCTTTGAGATAGTGGATATTGCAAAAACCAGGAGCGCTTGGCTGTCCATACAAGACAAGCTGCTTGCAGACTTCATGAGCCCTCTGGCTTTCCAGCTCAACCGCTGATAAAGTGGACTGATAGCCATGGTGTTCACTCTGTTAGTCAGCAGACTCAGGTTATTTTCAGGGAAGGTGTGGAGGCATTGTTTGGTTAGTTTCATCAGTAGGATGTGTAAGGTGAAGACATAAACCAAATACCTTTCACTACTTAACTCTAGTACATTATCTTTAGTAACACTAGAATGCTGTGGTCTTGAGGGAGGGAGGCACACAGAAGGTTTGGCGTTTCGTAAGCCTATCCAGCTGTAGCAGGTTTTATGTGGTGTGGTAGTGTTTACCATAAAGAGGTACAAGCTTCACGAACTGTTCTTATCGAACTATGATTGAATAGATACCAAAAATAGAATGACAAATGTATTTTAACAGCAGATGAGGCAGTTGGTTGTAGGATGAATTCTGTGTTGTTGATTTTACTTCAAGACCTAGCAAGAGAAAAAAAGTTTTGTTTTCAAGACATTTCTGCTGCAGTTTAAACTGTAGTGGGCATATGCTTCGTTTTCTTCCAAAGAGGCAAAAGCAGCTGGAACTGGCTTACAGCACATGCTTTGTTTCGCGGTATGGGTGAAGACGTACGCGGTATGGGTGAAGACGTACACTCTTATTTTAGAGTCACTTACCCTTCTACAGCAAGGCAGATGTGGGGTTCATTAGGATTTAGTGCCTGATCTTTTCTTTTGGGGAGGGGTGGGAGTGAATGTATTTGGGATGGGAGAGAAGCAGAGAAGAAATGGGAGTGTGAGTGAGTGTGCATGTGTCTGGAATTCACCATTACCCCCACCTGTGTCTAGCAAGGAGCAGGTGTTTGATGTACTTTGCTCATGACTGCAGTGTGCATGTATTTTTTCCTCCGTGTTTTCTAAACTTACACTAAAAGGATTCATTAAATCATCTTGTTCAGATGGCTCAGGATTGTATTTGTTTTGCTTACCCTGTGCTCTTGGGTTCTATAGTATTTCTATAATTATGTAACAAGAATAGTGTTGCACTGTAATCTATCATATAAAGTTATATGTATGGAAAATTTTGATCAGTTTTTTAAGAAATGTATCCTGTTTGCAGAGGCACAATAAAGTTGTATCTTATAGACTATAGGCAATAAAGCTAACAATAAACCTTATTTAACACAAACCATATTCATATTCTCTGTTTATTTGATTTTAGAAAAAGTCTAGCATACTCAGTAGTTTCAGGGATTTCATTTTAACTTAAAAAACTCTGATATGTTTAATTTATAAATTTTGGACCAATATAATAGAGTTTCGGAAAACTATAAGAAATGCTTTGTTAATGTGTGTATTCCTATGTAAAACACATGGCTTCTCCTGTGTATATTTTTAAATATTAAAGAAATGCACATTTAAAAATTGTTTTGTGGACCCTGTCTGTATAAATGTGCCAGGTGACAGAGGTATGAGGGAGGGAGTGAGGACGTGCAAATTGTGAGAAGAGGAAATTGCTGCCTGTATTTGCGAAGGGTCTGGGTGTGAAGAATTTAAGAAAATATCTTTGTTACCATCTCATCCTGTTTCAGTGTAGCCAGGGGAGGTGGCTGGGCACCTTCCCCAGTTTCTAAATAGGGGTTGCCTTAGTGTTTCCAGGCTGCTGCCTCCTCCTGCCATCCTGTGCACAGCTGGGGCCCTCTGCTGTGCTGTCACCAGAGTGGCAGTGAGTGTGTGGCAAGAGGGGCTCTGAATCAGCTGCGGGTGCAGTGGGGTGTTTACACTCAGCATTGCCAGAAAGGAACAGTGGTCAAATTGTCTGTCTTACTCAATGACAAGGTAAGGTTGTAGAGACCAGGGATTTATTTGTGCTCCTTTTGAATATTTTTTGAGAGACAGTTGGTCTTATCTGGGATTTTAGAGTGTTTCTACCTATGGGAACCTGTGTGTGTCCCACGCAGTCGCATTTGGGGCTAGGGGCCCAGGTGGTATAGAAGAGTCCAGACCAGGGTCTTGCCACCTCTCTCTGCTGCACTTGGGCTCTCCAGGATTTCAAGTGTGGCCTTGGATCAGCAGCATTGGCATTTTTATGGGAAGTGCAGTCTCAGGCCTCAGCCCAGACCTAGGGAATCAAAAGCTGCATGCTTGCAAGCAAACTGGCTTCCCTTAGGAGGAGACTCTGGGGTGCTCCCTGTGTTATGAAGTATCCTCTCAAACGTGGGAGGTAAAAATCACACTGAACAGAATTTACCCTTCTCTTGATGACTAAGTCCTGAGTCATCAAGAAAAGTTAAATTTAGCGTGCTTTGAACTGTTTAGTTATTTAAAAAATCAGTGTATTTCTTTAAGCCTCCAGGTAATTAGAGTGTTGTGTGTACAGCATGGTAAAATGCATTTTGCAACCCCCTCACTACCAAAACTGTGAAGGTAAGCACCGAAGATGTGTAAAATAATGGATTTTTGTAATGGCAAATTAAGGACTGAAAATGCACCTTTATACAAAACAGTGGCTTGATCCATCTCATCACTGACTGGTAGAGATGATAAACGGTATCCCAGCAAACAGAAATATTTCCCAGAGGACAGGCTTCCCTGACGTTTTTTTTCTTCAGCACCCAGAAAGAAATAAATTTAATATCACAACCCTGTACACACAAAGTTTATAGTTCTGAAACAAGTTTTACAAATGTGATGCACGCTATTTTCTATTTCTTTTATTTGTTTAATGCTCATCAAGACTCTAAATTGAGTTCATGACCTGCTAATGAACTGAGAACCAGTTTTTAGAACCTTGCATGAAGGGATGGTGATACAGTGATCCATACATTCACAAGACTTTTCCAATCTGTCAGTACATGTGTAATGGAAAGTAACACACACACATAACCACCACCTTTCCTTATAGCAGTGGGGTGTTTCTTACACTCCTGTGAGTCTTCTTTGCTAGCATAGTGTGGCAATGTCTAAATATTAGAAATATAATCAAGAACTCATTACTGAGCTCCTGTGTGTCAGGAAATTTTGCATTTATTTAGCTATACTTCCTTCTGGCTTAGAAAAGTGATAAGTGCCTCATACTAAATACTGGCTTGTACAATACAAATAGAATCCTTTTGTTTAATAACTTTAAACAGATGTGTATATATTAAATGCAGAAAATTTTTAACTTGTCATTGTATGGCATCGTGAGTCAGTCATTCAACATGGGTTTTTTTAAAAGTACTCACTGTGTGCCAGGCACTGGGGTGAAACAGCTTATGCACTGCTGGAAGACACAAGAGTAAAGAGCCTAGATCCTGGAGCATTCAGCCACCCCACAGAAAGCTGGTTTCATAGCCTCTGCATTTAAGCACTGTCTATCATTGCCTCCTTCAGTTCTCTCTGGTGGAGAAATGCTGCTCCAGCCTGCTTTTCAGATCAGGTTAAGTGGTGGATGCCCCAGATGGTCATAAAACTGTGTGCAGAGAAGGATTTGCATGCAGACCCACGGCAGGAGGGAGGGCCAGCTTCTAGCTGGTAGAAGAGGTAGACTTCTGATGCACTGGGTGGATTCACGGGTGATTTCCAAGGAAAGGGTGGATTTTCCCAAAAGCAGTTGTTAACAGCTAAAGAAATGACAAATTTCTTGTTTTTTTTCTTCCACAAATATGATGTTTTTGTTTAATGAATGAATGTTTATTAAATGAGCCACATTGAGGCTGGATTCCAGCCAACTGATACAAAGTTTAGGGCATAATAGAGGAGTCACTTCTCTTTTCCCTGTTTTTCAGGGTCCAAAAAATGTGGGTGTAACTTAGTAAGATTTGTAGAACCAATGCTTCAGGCTAGCAATTGGCCAATGAAATATTGTTGGGCCTGAGGCAGGGAGCTTTGAGTTGTTTTTGGATGCTCTTTCTGCATGTTCAGAACAAAACAGACTGGATAGGTGTGGTCCTCAGGGAGCCCTGAGCCTAAATTCACACCTACATTTCGCATGCTTGAGGCCTGCATGGCATGCAGATTTTCTATTTTCTTCCTGGCCGAGAGGCCAATTCTAATGAATGCTTTTTCCTATATTGATACTTCTGATTTCCAAATTCTTGTTTACCATTTTAACTTGTGGTAAGTTAAATCCTTTTTTTTTTTTTTCTGAGGAAAAAAAATCAGTAAGTTTTTGACTCCCTCTGGAACCTTCCAAATGTGGCCCTCCACTGCTCACCACCAAGCTGAAGGTTGAAGAGGAAATGCTGCTCAGGGCGGGAGTGCCCTGTTCCTGTTTTCGCCCCAGCCCAGATCTTTGACCTTGGTGCTCCAAGGTCATCTTCACAAGTTTCTCCACTGCCCCAGGAGGGGAGAAGCCCGTGGCCCTCCACTGCTCACCACCAAGCTGAAGGTTGAAGAGGAAATGCTGCTCAGGGCGGGAGCGCCCTTTTCCTGTTTTCGCCCCAGCCCAGATCCTGCTCCAAGGTCATCTTCACAAGTTTCTCCACTGCCCCAGGAGGGGAGAAGCCCGTTGTGGGATGCTCCTCCTCAGCCTTCCCAGGGAATCCAAAGACAGTCCAGAGCCCAGGCCCTGTTTCTGCAGGACTCAGAGCCTGGCACCTGCTCCAAGCTGGGCCTTGGTCCCTGGGGTGCCTCCTGGCTCTGATAAGCTGGATGGGTTCAGGGAGGAAGGGCAAGAGCCAGACTTTGTTTCATAGGAAGTTTCTCAGCTTTCTCTTCTGCTTACCCCCACACAGGATGCTTTTCCCTTTTGCTTTCTGTTCTCTAAAAGTGTCTTGGTGTTAAAAATTAAGGTTGTGGAAGACAGGCTTTGGGGGGCTGGTAAAGCTCTCTTTTTTACCTGGTACTGGTTATGGGAGTGTGTTTATGATGCCATCGAGCTGTACACTTGTGACAACGCACTTTTCAGTATGTATGTTTTACCTCGACAAGATGGTTTTGTGATTTATTATGAATAGTATCATCTCATTTGTTACTCAGAACAAAAGGAAGGAAAATGATACAAGAAGTGGCCAATCGTTTTGATTGATGTGAAATGGGGGTTCCAGGGTGAAGCTGCGGACTGACCCAATAATTGTAGGTACTGTATTTATCCTAAAGAAACAAACACATGTGCAAAATTTTAGAAGCTTTATTAAAGTGAAAAGTTGGAAACAAATGCCTGGTAAGAGTTAAATGATGGCACAAGTGAAAATGGAATGCTATTTAGCCATTAAAAGATGCCATAAATGTTTATTAAGGCCACTTATAAAAGCATAGTACAATCCCATTTTTAACAAAGAAGGTATATATTTTACATATATGCATAGAAAATAATCAGAAAGAAAGATCTCCTTTCAACTTTACTGATGCTCAATCATATCTACAAGGGGGCTGCCCGTTTCATGGGTCCCTCTGCAGTGCAAGGGCTGGGATAGCAATTTTGCCTCCCCATAGGGATTTCACAGAGATTTTCTTTAGAGATGGAGGGATTCATTTTCCAGGATTCAGTTCACCCCTTCACTTTATTTTGGGAATTCTCACTTTCTATACAACTTTATGCTTGATTATTAAAGGGTCTTATACTGTTCAACTACATTTATAGAACGCTGTGAAAGCAGAAATTCTCTATTTCATTATCTCCTGTAGGCTCTGGGCACAGGAGGGGGTATATCACGGGTGCTCAGGAAATACTTATCCCTTGCTGTCTGAGACACAAGCACCCCACCCTGAGACAGAGACCTCCGGAAGAAAGACCTGACTGGTGTGCAGGAAAGAGTCCTGAGCTGGGAGATGAGGGTTCTTTCAGCTCTGGCTCCAACCCCGACTTGCTGTGTGACTGAGCAAGCTACTCCCATCTCTGGGCTTCTGCTTCCTCCTTTGCAAAATGGGTGGGGTTAGACCAAATGGGTGCTGAGGCTGCCTCCAGCTCTATCAGCCTGGTTCTGAGAACACAGCTCTGGGGGGGAGCAATGGCCTGCCCCTTTCCGCCCTTTACCCCAATGTGTGTGCACAACAGTATTGTGACCCATGCGGTGTACCATAGACATTGCATGGTTTTCTTTTTGCATCAATTAAAGTAAACATAAAGAAAAAGGAACCCTTCCCACCCCACCATCACTAAATTAATGAAAACAAGAATGGATACAGAAGGAAGGAAGGCTGGAAAAACCAAAAGGGAAGGACTTATCCTCCTCTTAAGGAGAGAGCTCAGTTTCAGTTTGATGTCGTGTAGTGGCTGTCGCACAGGGCTGGTTGCTGTGTTAGATGTATCTCTCTGAAAGGTTAGGCTTGGCTCCTGGTCTCACCACGGGCCTGAAAGAGAGGCAGGAGACTGTCACTGTAACAAGAGCCCCTTCAATGGAGTATCCATCCAAGTCTAGCCCCCCATTTCCCCAGCCTTTGAAGGTCCTGAGAGCGTGTCCCTGGGCACCAGCATGGGATTGTGTGAATGACCTCAGCAACTCTGCTAAGCACCATCTTGTGTAATCCTCACGGCAACCTTAGGGGTTAGGCACTGGGAAGTTAGAGAACGTAACCAAAGTCACACAACTAGGAGGTGGCTGAGCCAGGACCTGAACCGAGTTAGTCTCGCTTCTTGAAGCCTTTGTCAAGGTCCCCGTGTAGGTGAGAGAATGAGGCTGACAACCAAAGTCTTCATCTGACCTCTCAGCCCAGGAGGATCACAGAGACAGAGGAGAAGGTGCATGAACCACCATCAGCAGCCCAGAGCTGCTTTATCTAAAAGCCCCTTTGACAACCCAAACTTGATGTTATGCTAAAAATGCGTGTTCATTCAGTATTGGGCTAGTGCCTCCTAAATGGCTAATTCTTCACGAGTGTCATGTTTGCAGTACCCCATCCTCCAGAACCAATCTGTTAAAGCTAAACTGCCCTCCATCATCACTGAGTATATTAACCCAAATGTGTGAATTCCTCAGATGTGTTTAATCTGCATCACTTTGTATTTCAGGGCAGGATTTTGTTTTTAGTTATTCCTTTCAAAATGAGAGTTTTCAAAAAAAAGAGATAAGGGACTATCTTGCAAAAGATGCCAACTGCACCCCAAGTAATGAAAATGCTAAAAATTCTTCTCTGTTTTTAAAGAGTCTTTATTCCCTTGGTATATCACCTGTAACACATGCATTGGAAATTCATTACATTTCCATGGTTAAAAATAATGATGTGTAAGATGCTAAATTTGGATTCCTTCAGAGGAATATCAAGGAGCACAAAATGCAAACCCCAGGTAAAAAAATATGAAATATTTTCAACTACTGAAAAGAACTGGTGTATACAGCTGGTTATTCTTAACACTCTCTGCTCCAGCTCCCCGACCACAAGAAGGAAGCTGAGCTTTGGCTGGAAGTTGCAGTTGGGCTGCTTGCTGGCAGTATGGCCTTGGAAAAATCATTAAATGTCATAAGCCTCAGTTCCCTCATCTGTAAAATGGAAGTCATAGTAACTACTTTAACGATTGTTATGAAACCTGGAATTAAAAAAAAAAAAAAATATATATATATATATATATAAGAACTGGTACACTGTAGGCTTTCCTCAGATGGTTATTTTTGATAGTCTGAGTGTAATTTTGCCTCTGCCCCCCTTGGGTAGATTTCCTAACTCTGAGCTGGAGATTGTGAGTTGGGACCGTGGCATCTACCATACAAAGTTGCTATGAGGATTAAGACAGATCCTGAGTAGAACCCCCATCACTGTGCTGGACCAAAGCAGGCACCTATTACATGTCACCACAGGGCTGCCTCAGCCTAAGGGCGAAGGAGAGAGGAGAATGGGGCCTCTATTACGGACGGACTGTAATCACATCAGACCCTGATCATATCAGAGTGTTCATGGGCTAGCATAGGATGGTGCAGTCACTTGAGCTGCCAGAGAGCTAATTGTCCCTGCCTCTGGGTCCCCCTTTCCTCCACTCCTGTCCTTTGCAGCAAATTAAGACCCTGAACTGACACCAGGAAATTAGGAACCAAGGCCATTATTTATTTGTTTCAGGTGATAAAAGATTGGTTCTCCCTCAAAAACCTAGACTTGCCAAGTAGGAAAAAAAAACTTTTCTTAAAACAACAAAACTCAGAATTATCCAGATAAAAAGAACCTTAGGTCCTCTGACAAACTAGGATGAATTGGGGGCATCCCTCCTACAGATTTTTTGTTGCCAGGCCAAATAGATTTACTGAAGTTACACTGTTCCCCGCACCAGCCCAACCTGGACTTCCATTTTCTCAAGAGTGCAGGCCACGTGGCCCGCCTACTGCCTCTCTTAGTTCAGGGACTACCTGCCTCCACTGCCATGGTCTCTCTCTGGGAAAAGTTCCCACCATCTACTGCTGGGGAAGCCAGGACCCTGGCCCGAAGCCGCCCAGAGCAATCTCGGGGTTAAAAGAGACTAACCTGGGACATTTGCAAACGCGCCTCCGGTTCCCTGGATACGGAAAAAGAAGGGAAACAGTGAGTCCCCTGCCCGACCCCCCAACCAAGAGTCCCCAGATACTTTCCCCTTCCCTTTTCCTATTTCTTTGAGGAATGTAACTCTTGAGAACCTAGATGTGGGGGCTTCTTTTCCATCCCTCTTCTCAGGCATCAATTTTTAGAACGTTGCAAGTACAGGTGCGGGTGAACGTGGGGAACCTGCAGACCTGAGCTGACACAGTCATCTGCATGGGACCCCCAGCGGGGTGGGGGCTCGCGGGGAGGGGACCAAAGGCAAACCTCGAACCGGTCGTGGTTTTCACCCAGCCCTGCTGGGCGCGGGTCGCAGGGCCGCAGCGACCCCTTCCCCGGCGGACGTTTGCGCTGAGTCCGGACCTTCGCGCCCGCTGCGGGCTTCGCGGCTGGAACACGCCCGCTGCCTCCCGAAACCCCTCCGAGCGTGGAACGGGGCGGAGAGGGGCTTTCCCGCGTCCTCTCTCCAGTGAAGAGGCGGGCCGTGCCTGGCCCTGCGGTGCCGCTCGGGAGTCCCAGAAATCTCAACCCCCTCGAGCAGCGCCAAGGGCTGCAGCGGGGCAGCCTCCTCCCCGCGCGAATCCTCAGGACTTACTGTGGTTGCACACGACGGTGATGACCAGTGACAGGAGAAGGACCGCGCAGGTCCCTGCCAAAGGCGCCCAGATGTAGATGTCACAGGCGAAGTCCAGCCCCCTCTTGTCCACTGACGACACCGAAGACGCCGTTTAGGAGCGGGCCCGGGACCCTCCACCCCGCCCCGCCATCCCGGGCGCGTCTACCGGCCCCGGCCCCGAGACCTCCCC